TTCGTTCTATTTCGCGGTAAGGATACTTCCTCGCCGGTCGTACCTTTGAGTACGTTCACGAGAGTCTAATCTCTCGGGACTCTTAAGTTGAGTGGTGGGTTTCGTGAAGCATTATTCACGGATTACGGATTTGAGATCCGGTATATATGTGTTAGTATATGTTTATATACTGTTTCTGATAGTTTTGTTCAACTTATGGTTTCATTGCATGTTTTTGATAAAGGTGGGGGTTTTACTACTTTGATTTCGATTGAACTGAACTTGATTTTTGTCCACTCACAACTTTTTGTTTTGCGCCCCCCCAGCCAGTAGCGAATGAGCTCTGCAGTTGAGCCGGACCGGGTGCATCTTGGAACTCGAGTCTTCGTAGAGACTCTTGGTACTTTTTTCTTTCAGTTAAACGGTACTTCGGTTGTATTTTGAATTCCGTAGATATGCTCTGTATCGCCCGCTGAGGGTTTAGATTTTGTGAGGCTGAAGGCCTTGTTTGTAAATTATTTTATTGCTTGTAAAGCATGCTGCCAGTTAGTTGTATTTAACTGTAAATTTTGAACAGGTTGAAGTTTGGGAATGTTCAATTTACAGGGGAGACTCTGCCAAATTTTTGGTAGAAAGTCTCCATCTTTAGTAAGTGAGCCCGGCATCGGGTTGATGTCGGTAATTAGACGGGGTCCGTCCCAGATTCTGAGGAATTTTGGGGCGGGTCTTGTCAGCTTGGTATCAGAGCATTAGGTTCATTTTCCTTTGACCTTTGCGCTTTTGTTATAGTGTTGAAACTAATGATTCTATGGATTCCTTTGTGTAGAATCATGCATCCTCAGCGTCCTAGAACGAGGGGTGGTCGTGTTCCGAGATGGGAAGCAAATCCTCCACCTTCACCTCCACTACCCTCTCCACCTCCCTCACTTCCGTCTTCTCCATCTCCACCTGCTGAGGAGCATGATGGAGGAAATGAGCCCGGCTTGCGGCGTCTCTTATCTCGGTTCACCCGCACTATGTCTACTGCCTTACATGGGCGACGAAATGTTGAAGGTTTGGACATAAAGAGGGTAAAGGAACTGGGAGCAAAAGAGTTTTATGGTGGTACTGGTATTTCAAGCGTACAAGCTTTGACTGTGTCAGCTGTACATGCTAGCTGAGAGTTAGTTCCCCAGTTGGACGGCTCGTTCCCTAGACACATGGTGAATTGAGGAATGGCTCTGCCATGTGGACTAGTCAAACAGTCCCCCGGTTGGATTGTTTCCCCGGTACAATTAAATATTGGTTATATTTATATACTATTATTATTATTATTATTATTATTATGTTATATCATATTATTATTATGTATGTATTTGTATATATAAATATATATATATATATATGAATGAATGTTCTTTCGTTTTATTTCTCGGTAAGGATACTTCCTCGCCGGTCGTACCTCTGAGTACGTTCACGAGAGTCTACTCTCGGGACTCTTAAGTTGAGTAGTGGATTTCGTGAAGCATTATTCACGGATTATGGATTTGAGATCCGGTATATTAGCTTATGGTTTCATTGCTTGTTTTTCATAAAGGTGGGGGTTTTACTACTTTGATTTCGCTTGAACTGAACTTGATTCTTGTCCACTCACAACTTTTTGTTTTGCGCCCCCCCAGCCAATAGCGACTGAGCTCCGCAGTTGAGCCGGACCGGGTGCATCTTGGAACTCGAGTCTTCATAGAGACTCTTGGTACTGTTTCCTTTTAGTTAAACGGTACTTCAGTTGTATTTTGAATTCCGTAGATATGCTCTGTATCGCCCGCTGAGGGTTTAAATTTTGTGAGGCTGAAGGCCTTGTTTGTAAATTATTTTATTACTTGTAAAGCATGCTTCCAATTGGTTGTATTTAACTGTAAATTTTGAACAGGTTGAAGTTTGGGAATGTTCAATTTACAGGGGAGACTCTGCCAAATTTTTGATAGAAAGTCTCCATCTTTAGTAAGTGGGCCCGGCATCGGGTTGATGTCGGTAATTAGACGGGGTCTGTCCCAGATTCCGAGGAATTTTGGGGCGGGTCTTGTCATAGATTCAGTTTGGTCTTGAACACCCATTTCACTCCAATAACTTGTTTGTCACTTGGTCTGTTCACAAGTTCCCAAGTTCCATTTTTCTCAATCATAGATAGTTCATCCTCCATTGCTTTTATCCATGACTGATCCTGTGCAGCTTCTTCATACTTCCCTAGCTCCACAATGCAAAGATTGCATTGTGCCAGAATATCATTTATGCTTCTCCACTTAATTGGTGTATGATCATAAGGTTTAGTGATCTCAGCAGTTTCATGGATATTTCTCTCTTGTTCTTCAGCTTGAGAAGAGCTGCAAGGACTAGCACAATTATTGTCTACTTCTGTTACTTCATGTAGACTGGAATCAATCTCAGTTTTAGATTGATCTAGAGTATTTGTCACTGCAGTAGGTATTTTTGTCTATGCTTTCCAGTTCCAAGTCAAACTTTCATCAAACAAAACATCTCTTGAGAAAATCAACTTCTTAGTGAAAGGATCAAATACCCTGTACCCCTTTTCACAAATAGCATATCCAACAAAAACCCCCTTGACACTCTTAGCATCCAGTTTCTGCCTTGTTTCTGTTGGTACATGTACATAACAAAGTGATCCAAACACTTTGAGATGACCAATACCTGGTTTTCTGCCATTATATGCTTCAAATGGAGTGATATTTTCCAGTGCCTTGGTGGGTGAACAATTTAGGAGATACACAGCTGTGTGAACAGCTTCTGCCCATAGAGAGTAAGGCATATTCTTCTCATGAAGCATTGCCTTGGCCATTTCCACCACAGTTCTATTTTTCCTCTCCACCACTCCATTTTGTTGTGGAGTATAGGCTGTGGTTAGTTGTCTTTGAAGGTCACCTTCTTCACATAATTTGCTAAATTCACTAGATGTGAATTCACCTCCTCTATCACTTCTCACACACTTCACTTTGAAACCACTTTGCAGTTCTACCATGGATTTAAACTTTCTAAAACAAGTTATTGCATCTGATTTATACCTTAGAAAGTACACCTAACTCATCCTTGTGCAATCATCAATGAGTAGCATAAAATATCTATTTCCAGCTATAGATTCAGTCTGCATTGGACCACATAGATCTATGTGTATCAATTCCAGAGGATTTCTTGCTCTCCAAGCCTGCCTTTTAGGAAACTAGTCCCTATGTTGCTTGCCCAATTGACATCCCTCGCATACACCATTAATTTCTTCCAGATATGGAAGACCATGAACCATACTTTGGTCTCTCAACTGTTTGAGACTTCTGAGGTTTAAGTGGCCTAACGTCTTATGCCAGATCCAAGTGCATTCAGTCACATTAGCCCTTAACGCAATCTGATCATTTTGCATTAAAGATAAAGGATAACACCTATTATTTTTCATCTTGACCTTGATAACCAACTTGTCAAGTGAGGGGCCATCAAAGATGCAGCACATGCCTCCACCAAATAGCAAATGATACCCATGTTCATCCATTTGACCAAAGCTTAACAAATTCTCCTTTAATCCAGGTAGAAACATGATTTCTCTAATGTATTTCTTGCCAACACTAGTTTCAATCACCTGTGAGCCTATGCCTACAACATCCACCAAATTTCCAGTAGGCATCTGCACCTTTCCACAAATATTTGTCCTTATATCAACAAGCAATTCTGCACTTCCATTCATGTGGTTGCTACATCCACTGTCAATATACCAGTTTCCATTTATTTTCACATCAGAAATGACACTATTGGCAAAGAATAGGTTTCAAGTCATCTCAGTTTGATTGACATAGTTGGCCTTTTGAGTAACCTTACCTATGGTGCATTCCCTAGCCAAATGTCCAAACCTATCACAGTTAAAACATTTAGGCTTCCCCTTATATCTACACGCACCAAAGTGAAATTTGGAGCACACCTTGCACTGTGGTTTAGCAGCATCTTGAGTTGTCTGTTGTGGTGAACAAAAATTGTGATTTGGTGTATAATTGTTCTGCTGAGGCTTTCCTTTCAATTCCCATGGTTTTCCCTTAGGATTCCAATTCTTTTGAGACTTAGAATTATTCTTGCTTTGTTGCCCTTTCGAATTCACAGAAAGATAGGCAAATGCCCTTTCAATGGTATCCACAGTATGTAGATCAAACCTTTGTTCTTGACTTTTCAAAATAGTTACAACTTCCTGCAATTCCACAGTCTCCAAACTTTTGGTATTTTCAATAACCAGACAAATAGGGTCATATGGCTTGCTAAGGCTAATCAACACTTTCTGAACAAGTCTCTCATTTGTCAGAATCTCACCAAATGTTTTCATTTGGTTTATCAAATCATTTAGCCTAGTCAAATAGCCAGATAAGGTTTCATCATCTCTCATCCTAGCATACTCAAATTCACGCCTCAGATTTTGTAATTTTACAGACCTTACCTGATCACCACCATGGTACTCTCCACACAACAAATCCCAAGCGATTTTTGCTGTTTCAGCATTAGCTATTCGTGGGAAAATCTGATCTGAAACCACAGTCTGAATAATGCCCAGGGCCTTAGCATCTTGCATATAGACAGCTGTTGTTTTCTCATCAACTTCCTCTTCTGAGCCTCCTTCAACCTTCTTCTTTGAGTCTGAGATCGAAATCCCCTTTTCAACCAGTTTCCATAACCTGTGCAACTTGAAGATCGTCGTCATTCTGATCCTCCAGAATTCGTAATTCTTGCCAGAGAAGATCGGAGTTCTTACTTCAGAACTTCCAGATCCAGCCATCTTTTAGCTCAGATGAAATGAATCACAAGTCAAAAACTGATTTTGCGAACGTTCTGCAACTTCGCCTGAGCTCAACCAAACTTGAGTGGAGCTCAATTTCTTACGCCCAGATCTTAATCGATCCAACCTGGCTCTGAGGCCATGTTAATGTTTAGCTATTCAAGCTGGGTTTATGTATTGGTTAGAGAGAAAATAAGAAATTCTGAGTGCTTTTGTATAACTGCTCTGCTTGCTCACAGAGTATGTGAGCAGTGTTTTTGTATATATTTATCTGTAAGAAAATGAGCTCATACGGCATGTACAAGACCGTTAGCTCTTAGCTGGATTCACACACTCATCAGTGAATCTCAGCCATCCATCATGCTAAACTAATGGATCACACAAATTACATTAAATGCCCTACACTTGGTTTAATTACCAAAGTGAATACACAATTAACTACAAGGCATATTTATGCTAAGCTTTAATTAGCTCACAGCTTATACACTAACAGAAATTCTTGAGCTTGTTTGTTTGTGTAAGGACCCATTTTTTTAAACTATATATTTATTTTCAGGAGGAAATATTTCGCTATTTATATATTTTATAAATTATATATGTATTGTTATATTCATTTTATATTTATATCTTTCATTATTGGTTTTCATATACAACATATATATAAGAACCCATATCTTCACTACTAGAAAGTTGGAAAATGACGACAGTAAAACGATGACGGCATAACTAAATACTATCGTTGTGCTTAAAAAGACGATGTTGATAGAAAATTGATTTGGATTAGTAACTTAAAGACTTTTAAAATCGATATCCGCTAGGGTATTTTAAAACATGATGCCCACAACTTCATAAGCGTTGTCTTATGAGACATGCTAAACAGAAGTTGCCGATTATGTAAACACTTGACCCCTAAATAACGATAGTGGGTATAAAGTAACCGATGTAGATACTAAGGACGACGTTCCATCTACATCACTGACGTATTAACTTGTACTTAACCACGATGGTAATTGTCGTCTTAACAACGTACACTACTATAAAAAGTGAAAAAGACGACAAGAAAAAGACGACGGTAGAAGAAAAAACTGTCGTTGTATTTAAAAAGACGACGGTAACAAAAAATCGTCGTGGATAAGTGACTTAAACAACTAAAAAACGGAGGTACTGTTGAATATTTTTTTTTATAATGACGCACACAAATAAAAAAGCGTCGTCTTATTAAAAAGGTTTTCTTCAGAGTTAAAATCTGACCAAAAAACAACGACAGTAGGTACGACAAGCGTCGTCTTTTAAAAATCAAGTGTCCTTTTTTTGGTAAAGACATGGTTGTTTTGAAAGAACTGTCGTCTATTATATGTAAAGATGATGGTTTGTTTAAAAAATGTCGTCTATTATGAAGTAAAGATAGCGGTCTGTTCTGGAAAAAGAGTCGTGTATTATATGTAAAGATGTATGTAACTAGTATGGGGCTATTACATTCAATAAAGGGCTACCAAATAATGTTTTCAAGAGGCATGTAACTAGTATGGGGCTGTTATCCGGTTTTGATGCATAAAAACAGTGGAAGCAGAAGGGACGTAGCGGGAATTTGCAGTTTTGTCGTCTGAACTCTGATTGAGGTCCATGATACCTTTCTGAAAAGGGAATGAAGCCAGGAATCAGACTCAATGCGTTGCATTGACATATGGTGGTTTTTGGCCATTTGAGGTCGTTTAGCCTTCCAAAAACGCATTTAGCTAGTGAATTTTGGATTAGTCTCTTTGCGTTTCTGGTATATTCTTTGTCTCCCTAATTTCAGATTTTGTCTCTCTTTATTTGTTTGGTTTGTTTACATATTTTTTATATTTATGGTTTCTTTTTAGATTTTCTGATTTGGTTATCAGGAGATGATGAGGAAGCTTGCAGATTTATAACTTTTTCTTTTGCAGGTTTTCTATGTGAGTCGTATGTTTTTTTGTTGTTGAAAATTTGTTACCTTCTCTTTTCACCATCATTTTATTTATATATTTTTCCTTTTGCAGGTTCTCGATGGTCTTTTTTATGCTCATTTTACAAGTTTTCTATGGAAATATGGACCAATGGTAAAATTTCTCTTCCACCTAATTTTTTATGTTATAATCTTAGCTTTTTTTTCTCTCTTTGTCATTTTGATTTATTTACAGGGATGATGGAGGAGACTTCAGTTGTGCATCATTTGTATGTTTGGATGAGGAATGCTTGGATTAGGAGTACGTAGGTCTTGTTAGGAATTATGTTTGTTGTAGAATAAAGATTGGTTAACTATGTAATAACTATTGAATCTTCAAGTTTTATGAAAGAATCTATTTGTGTATATATTCATTAATAAAGCATTATGGTTGGTTTTCTAGTTAAAATCGTTGTATAGCATCATAGGAAATCAAAAAGAACTAAAATGCAGCAGTTTGGAAACTTATTAGACGTCAGTTTTTATAATAAATCATGGTCTTTACAGATAATTAACGACGGTTTTTATAAAAAAGTGTCGTCTATTATAGGTAAAGATGACCTTTTTTAAAAAAAATGGTCGTCTATTGTATGTAAAGATGACGGTTTTTAAAAAAAAAACTGTCGTCTTTATAAACAATCCACGACGGTTTTCATAAAAAACCGTCATCTTTACATACAATAAAAGACTGTTTTATTAAAAACAGTCGTCTTTCCTCTTATAATTAACGATCTTTACCTCTAAACAACGACGATTTTATTTAAAAACCATCGTCTTTATAGATAAACAACGACGGTGAAAAGCCGTAGTAGTTTGAAACCCAAATAGACGGCAGTCGATTTCACGACGGTTGGAAAACCTTTTACACAACGGTGGTTTCCCGTCGTCTATTTCGATTTTTGTAGTAGTGGTATGAAGTGCCCTTGTACTACGATGGTTATTATAACGTCGTGTGACGTTATGTTTGCTTGAGAAATACTTTCCCCCTTCATTCTTCAATATCATGGTTCATCTAGTAGTATATCTTGTCAGAGAAGTTCGTCTATGTGGGCCATTTTATTTTAGATAGATCTATCCATTTGAAAGATTCCATGACGTGTTTGGTCATTATTGAATAACATATTGAACTTTTATTTTTCTTCTATCCATGTTAGATTGAATTAAGATATGATTAATTTACAAGTTCAAAGTGAACTCAATGGGGAAGACAATAATGGCATATCAGAAAAGTTGAGGTGGCTAGTAGCTGGTCCAAGTATGGCAATGCCATCATATAGGAGCTATCTCGTTAATGGTGTTTAATTTAACATCAAGGCACAAGATGATGTACCAACTGTCCAAAATAGTGGAGTTTATTTACTTGCACATACTATGAAAGTTGCTAATGCTAAGGATAAAAACCCGATCATCTCCAATATAGGTTTTTATGGTGTCATTCAAGAACTTTGGAACCTTTACCACCAAAAGTTTAGAATTTCAATCTTCAAGTGTGATTGGATAGATAACACTTCAGGCCTTTTTGTCAACGAACTTGGATTTACCCTTGTAGATTTGAGTAAAATTGGATAAAGGAATGACCAATTTATTATGGCTTCTCAAGTCAAACAAGTATTTTTTGTTGACGACCCAATGCATCATAGTTGATCGGTAGTGTTATCAATGCCTAATAGAGAATATAATGATGTTATTAGTGATGATGTGTGATATTAGAATTGAGTGCGAGCCATTTACTAGAGGGATACCCAATGTTGACATATTTGATGACCTAGTAGGTGAGTTTATTAGGAGTGAAAATATTAGAGATGGGTGTGAAGATATATGGATTGATTGATGGTTGTAATGTATGACATTAATTATGCAATAAATGGCTCTGTTTGACATTATTTTTATCACTTTTTCATTATGCAGATTTTGGGCATGACAATTCCAGTATTAAAAATACTAGGTTCAAGATGTAAAATACGATGGTCCAGTTACCAAATTGCAAAAACATACATCTAAATGATACCCAACATCATTTCTTAACAAACGTTATGGAATGGACGATGTAAACGACCGTACATAAATAAAAACCACTATTTGCAATAAATAAAAACACGTCAGTTAATTAAAATTGATGTTAAATAATAATTAGGCGATCCTGAAAAAAATAATAACCAACAACGACAGTCAGGTTAAGCCGTTACTACTCAAAATTCACGACGGCGTTGTTCATAGAAGCGACATTTCAAAAGTAATAACACGACAGTAAATGATACAAAACGACGTATTTAACGAGTTCACTACAACCTCCCATAAATATTTACTATCATCTAAAAGGACCACAAAAGGCTTCTTAGTTTAAATATTTGTCGTGAGAGTTCCTCTGAACGTTGGTAAGCTGACACCTACCGTCGTCTCACCAAATACACACGATGATATTGGTGTTACAAGCGCCTTGTAGCGTAGGAACCATGCCTATATTTATATTCTCCGCGGCGTGGTAAGTTAAGTAACAACGACATCCAGGTAAATACTAGGGTTGTAGTAGATAGTAATAACTATGTTCTTTCTACATTTACAGTTGTTACTACAGTATTTACAGGTTGGTAATGACCAAAGGCGTCATGGAATCTTATTAACCACGACGGTTTATTTTAAATAACCGTTGTGACAGTCATTTTGAACAACAGTTATGTAATATTTAGGGGAATGGTTACTCTATGTTATGATGAGACATGGATAAATTGTGACACGATATCTCCTTCAGACGACACCATGTTCCGAAAGGCGTCGTCTAAGCATATTGAAGTTGCCTTTTTTGCTGTTTTTTATATTAATTAGACATCGATTGTGAACCAATAGCACCGTCATATATATTAATAACTACGTTCTTTCCATATTTACCGCCATTACTACTTCATTTGCACGTCGGTATGGACCATAAGCGTCGTGGAATATTTATTAACCACACAGGTTTATTTTAATGTACCGTCGTGGAAGAGATTCTGCACGGCGGTAAGTTAATATTTAGAGTCGTGGTTAATCTGTGTTA